CTCTCAGTTCTGTGCACAGCCACAAGCCTGAGACAGGTTCCCGATGTTTCCCTCTTGCTCCTCCCCAGGGACCTGTGGAGTGGGGAAATCTCCACGGGTACCTGTGTCAGCTCACCAATTACCCACTAGGTCATGCAGCTTCTGAAATGAGATAAGCATCTACTCTCACACACCAAATAAAACCCAGGCTAAGATAATTAAGACAACTTGCTCTCAGGGCGAGAGCTGGTCATGCACGTTTCACTAAAGCAACAGAGTTAGATTTGGTGAGAAGCACGTAAATGAAAGAGAATTTACACCAGCATGCCTCCTTGTTGAAGGCAGACAGTGTAGAGCCTGTGGGGAGCTCCTGTTTTAGGTGTACCAAAAAAAATCTTATGCAATGGAGGTAAAAGAGGCACCATAGCCATCCCCAGTGGGTGTCTGAGAGCAGCAAGAGGAAAGAGGCATACTGAAAAACGCTGCACAAACACACACTGCAGCACTTCCTTACTGCTCACGGCAATACCTCGCTAGGTCTGTAGTTGCTTCCTTTCACCTTTGTTGAAGACAAGACACTGCCTCTCAGAATTCCGAACTGTTTGAAGAAATTCTTCCCAATACTTCAGTGATGTGGGCGCTTTCCTGCAACACCCCGTACAGGCCCTTCAGCTCCTTGTAAAGTAGATCATGAAAACCACGTTCTTCTTCAGTATAAAATAATCTTCTAATCCTGGCCACCAAGCAATTAATAACAGGACAGAAAAAACAACCAAAAAGCTACTTTCAAAGGGAGTTCTCTGGCAATTCTAAGACAGAGAAACCCTCTGAAACAGGAAATCTACTGCCGCAAAGAGGGTGCTGCACAGCTTTGCTCACTCTCCATTAGCTGGCCAGTGGAGCAATAAAGTGACAAGAGTTTCCAAAGTAAAGTTTGCTTTGGTGCCTAATCAGGCTTTACTCCACCTGAACTCCTGCTGACTTCAATGAGAGGTTAGATGGAGTGAAAAGTGAATGAGGACTTGAAGGCTTGGCCCTTTATGAGCCAAGATTTAAGCTGTAAACTTATTTAAAGACACAAGAATCTCTGCAGCTGAACTCAATGCCACTTTTGAACACAAACCTGTAGAAAACTTGTTTTTCTTTGTGCAAATCTCACATGTTAACATGATTAAATCTGCTGGGCAGGTGTCTTCTCATGTCCATGTTTGCTTTGGCACACAAGCTGCCCCTCTCACCTCTCTAAATTCAAGAAAATTTAGTGTTAAAGCCTGCCTTTTGTTACATGAGCGTGCCAGGGAGCCCCTCTGCCTTCCCACACCAAGGCTTGCTCATGTCACAGCTGGGCTGAAGTTCAGCCCAGCGCTGCCAGGTGCCCAGGCTGGGGAGAGCAAGTGTGGGTACTCATCTTCCATACGCAGGCAAGCGTGGCATGGGATCCACCACCAGCTCCTTACTGCAAAATCCCTCTGCTGCTTCTCAAGCTGTTTCTTGAGTTGCCAGTTTTCCAGCTCCTGGAATCATCTGACTGATCATCCCAGCTTCCGTGAAAATTAGTTTTTAGCTATTCAGATGAGATATACAAAGGAATCAGAACGTGACCCTTTACAGCTCAAAACTATACACTTGATGTAATCTCCAAGCCACCACTGTAATGCTATTTGCAAGGGTTTTGGGACCCAGCTGTAGTGCTCAGAGTGCTGACACTCTGCCCTGCACAGACCGGACAGTCCCTCACCTACCATTTCCCTTGCTGTTTGCTCCCTGCCATTGGTACGGCAAAAATTTGCACCTGTTTTTTTAGATCAATACAAGCAAGTTCCATTTTAGAAACTGTTCAAAGGGGCTAAGATTCAAAAGCACGTAGCAAGCACTAGTGAAGACATTTTTTATTAGCCCAGAAAAATGTGTCTAGCAAGAACAGTTGGCAGGGTGAAGACCCTCTAAGACACAATATGCATATTTAGGTATCAAGTGGCACATGCAGCTCTCCCAGCACTCCTTTCCCAAGTGCAGAGATGACCCAGGTGTTATCTGCTCACATTTTATAGCAATTTAGCTGAGCCACAGCAAACTAATGGCATCCTGTTGTGCAAGTCTAGATGCTTTTTGGGCTTTGCAAATTGCTTTTTGTTTAGCGGATTAGTCCTGAACATTCAAATCTTGCACCTCATTTTTTGTCTAACGTCTAGGAAATTATAAAAGCAATTAGCTCCCTAAATCCTTCTCTTATCTGTAATTGGGTGTGATTTTTTTGTTGTTTGTTTGTGAAAAACACTGAACAAAAATAGTGTCTGCTATATGGGCCAGGAAAATAGACCCCGATGACAGCCAGCTTATCTTCCACAGCTGACTGAACAAACCAATAACTACTGGGTATGTTTTCAGGAACACTCCCAACCAAGAGCCGAGGTGACAGACAGACCCGTGGAGGTTTTACACAGCTCTACACTTTCCATTAGAAATGAGAAGACTCCCATTACTTTCCCTTCCTGCATAATGTCACATTGCCAGAAATATTCCAAGCGCAATGGGGCTATGGGCAGGAAGGTAGAACAAAGCATGTGCCTTAGAACACATTTCCACCAGCTTCAAGGAATTTTTTAAAAAATAAAGAACATGAACCAGAGACTGTAACTGTAGAAAGTTCCAACTCTGTTTCTTTCCCACCCTCACCCTTCCCTTTGGACAAGCACATGATTTCCAGCAGGTGTGAAAGAGCCAGGAGACAAACAAAAGAGATAAAAGACAGAAAAACTCTGGAGAGCACTCAGGAGGCCACAACACAAGCACAGCACACCAGCTCCTAGCAGGCAGAGGTACTCTACCATTATCTAGTTCACAGATGGACCACCCAGAAAATCTGGGAGCAATTAGGAATGAGAACAAACAAATGCATGGAAAGAAGGGGGGAGGGAAAATGGGAAGGAGAGCCAGAAGGGATTCCTTACATCATCTCCATGCAAGCGTTTCGAGAATGAAGTGAAGCTATATGGAGGAGGAATGCAGATGAAAGAGTTTGCAGTGAGAATGCAATAAAGTAAAAGGCTATGAAAACATGCAGCGTACGAATGAATTACAACATGGCCATTAAATTTACAGAAAGTCAGGACAGTGTGTAAACAGAGAAGAAACCCATCAAGTTCTTGGAGACACAGACACGCACATATAAACAGATCAAATGCTAAGTGTCTCTTGCTGTTAACAGCATGTCAACCCGCCTTGCAACCCAGGGATCTATCAGGCAGAAAGTGGACTCACTTTCCTCTTCAGCTGTCAGTAACTGGCATTAAATACTGGCAGGAAAAACACAAATGCTACAAACAAACACCAATGCAACCTCACATACTATGCATGGATAGGAACCATAGCAACACCCAAGGGGCTTATACTACCAGAGCCGTGTGCCTGGGAACAGCCAAGTTTCTGCTCGTCTTGTTTCCACTTACCTGGCTGGCATCTAATCTCACTATTAGTCAGCACCTCCCAACACCAAGTTATACCTTTCTTGCTTGGGAGGCTGACCTGATCATGGTAACCAAGTGCTTTGGCCCAACTGATTTCAAAGTGACTGCTGAGCACTCTAAAAACAAGGCCCATTATTTAATTAAATGCCTGATTTAAAGCATCTTTATTGGTTTTAATTGTGGCATAGAAGGTTGCCTTTGTTGACCAGTGCTGCAAAGTTTGCTTTCTCTTTTTAAATCATTTGATATGCAGTTTTTGACTTTTGCTAGTGAGTACAACTTATGAACTGTGTTCTGTGGGATCTAAAAGTCACAGCAAAAAAATTACTCTAAATAAAAACTGAAGATACCAAGTGTTTTGAAGTGATCTTAATCAATAACACTGTGTTTACTTTGTCTTGGCCTCTGAGAAGCGAACTCTGGTCATTAAGGACATCTTATAAACACACTGAAGTTCACACAAGCATTTTTTAAAGCTTTTCAGTTTATCATAATCTCAGTAAACTCACTCCCTGATAATTTTCTCTAAAAACAGTCCTTATTAACTCACAAGTTCAGTTGAAAAAAAATCTACTATCTGCTCGTCTTAGCAGCAGCTACAATATGGCAATTAGTTTACCTCAGAATAGACATCAAAGGCTCAAAGGATGACCCTGCCCCAGAAGAACAAAATCTTTTAAAAGCCCCATTCCACTCAGTTTGCTAGTTTATAAGGTTTGCTAAAATCCAGTTTAATGATCATGTAGTTTCTTAGCAAGTCATGTGGTGCCATATTGTGTAAGAAACAGAAGAGTTAGTTCTAAAACCTTTTTGAACTTGGAGAGCTTTTCCGACCAGCTGATGCAGAACCCCATTCTGAGATGGTAAATGAAACTGTTGGATGTAAAAGCCTGACCATGATTTTCTTTAGCTTCTTTCAGAAGAGACAAAAGTTCCCACACAACACATACTCTCCCCATACAATGAAAGATTCAATAATAGCAATATATTCAAGTCCATATGGTGCGGTTATAAGGGAGAGGCAAAACAAGAAACTAAGAATCCTGAAAGCAAGAGGCCTGTAAGCTGTGGTAGAAAAAGTAAGAGCATGAAAAAAAAATTAAGGTGAAACTGGATGAAGTAGTAGGGTACACTGGATTAGACAGTTCTTCTTTTAGCTACAATCTTTATATCCTGAGCTGCTGACAGTTCCCTCCCCTAACATGGTTATCATACAATTTAATTTTTTCTGGATGATATATGACAAAGTGCTTTCAAAACCAGTCTGGCCCAGTAGCCAGGTAATAGCACTACATGTTACCAGGCAGGGTGACTGAGCAGCAGTTTCCAATACAGCCTCACAGCAATAATGCAGAAGAAATGAAAATGGAAGGGCTGGTTTCAGTGAGGGGGAACAGACATATATGAAAGGGAATAACAGTAAATGAATAATACAGGAGAGAAGTCTTCTTACCCTGTCTAGAATCAGATTTGAATGGTGAATGAGAAATAGGGAGGGGAGAGGACAGGAAGGACAAAATGTTGCTTTAAATATTTAGCATAGACTTGCCCCACCTCTTTCCATTACTATCACGAAGCATGGCTTTTCCCAGCTCTCTTGTCTTCGTCTCCAGCTCCTGAACTTGTTCCAGCAAAGTTTTATGGTAGGTATGCTTAGCCCTGTACCACAAGAAAAAGACAAAAACAAAACAAAAAAGCCATGTGAACATTTGTTTTGCTACAAACCCCCAAATTTACCTGCCAGGGGAGAGGCACAGGGCCTTCCCTTGAAGGATTTGGAAAAGAAGGCACAGTGTTTCCATGTTAGTTCAGGTTCACAATACCTGGGAAAAAATACGTAAGAAATGAGAAATCAGGAGGACTTCAAATTCAACAGAGTTTGGCTGCTTCAACAGAACACTCAAAACCTAACTAAGCAGCCAAGCTATGGGACCACAGAGATCTGATACCGCTGCCGTGGAACTGCTCAGGACCCGGGCATTCAGACAAAGGGCTGGGATTCATTGAATATTCATGGCAGTAAAACGAGATTCCACCCTGTCTTTTGAGCTATGTGTGGCACTGCTCTGAAAACCCGAGGAAAGTCTCAGATAGTAATTGCCATTCAAACCCCTTGATTTTTGTTTATCATTCTCACATGACTGGAAAGGAACTTCTCTCCCCAATGAACTTCCAAACTGACAGTAACAAGACTGGCTGTGACCTACTTCCTCAGCTTGAGGATTGAAAGAGCAACCTATGTACAACACCTGTAACCAAAATTTAGAGTGCAATTCCCCCCACAAAGAGACTTGACCTTTTTAGCCCCAGTTGTACCTATTGCTCCAGTGCTATTATACTTAAATTACATTGATCTAGGGGAGAGAATCTAGTCCCCTTCGTCTTGACATGTACAAAGCAAGAAAAAAAGAAGCAGGGATCTTTCTTCAATGGGCAGTTTTTGATCAGCTTCCTCTTTTGTGTCACTTAAAGGAGGATAAATGTCCCATGAGAATATAATGATTTGCATGTGACTGCAAAAGAAGACAAGATGGAGCCAAGTTGGCTGAGACAGTACTTGCTTCATGGCATTAAAATAATATTCTTCAACTCTAGAGACGGCAAAAATTTCTTTACAAGTTTTATAAAAATCTTACATGCAGACACTAAAATCTTTAACCAATGATATAAAACAATGTCAAACTCCCTCTAGGAGAAAAAGAATGACTGGTGTATATGTAATTAAAATATAATGAAGATGCATTTATTTTTAAAAGGTACTTATGATACTTATAGCTCCTTCCATGGGGAATAAGAAACAAAGACCGCAAAATCTTTGCTGATACTATTTAGGATGACACTGCCTTGATATTAATACTAAGATATCCAAGTTCTCTGGTCTTTGTGTTGCTGAATTAGGCAAATGCCTAAAAATGAGAAGCTAAAATAAAAACTACTTTCAAAACATATCTGCATTTAAGAGAAAAAAAATAGAACAACGAAAGATGAAGCATAGAAAAATCTGGAAGTAAAGATTATCAGGATGTACTTAGAAGAACATACTGTTAAACCAACAAAGGTGTATGATTTGCAACACCAACATACTGTGTAGAAAGAAATGAGTAGCAAGGATATTTTTAAAATTCATAATGCTTCAACAATGTGAGATTACCAACAGCTGCACAGAAGTTAATTAGACTCAAGTTGCTGTAACTAGTTAGGCTAATGATTAGACTGGTCTCCTCTTTGAGGAAGGGAAAATATAGCTATTAAAATGAGAAAGCTTTGAGGCTATTAATTCTTATAATCTTTCTGGTTGACTTCATCATCGCAGTCTTTAATTTAAATAAATGTATTGAAATTTTGACCTTGAACTTCTCTCTTACCTTTTAAAGAGGCCATACCTACTATTGCAAACTTGAAGACTGAGCGCGTTTGGAGTTTTTCAAATCCTTTATAACCAGTTTTCCCCATAGACAAGAACACATATGTACAAGTTACTCAATCTCTCCCAAGGGTCCATGTGTATCTTGCCACACACCATGAGAGATGATGTTCACCTTTAGAACAAATATCGAATCCAAAACTTAACAGATCTTGAGCAACAAGTCCAATTTGTGCAGCACAGCTCAAGGAGGCTGATCCGGCACAGTACAGAAAAAATACTGTTGGCCTGAAGTTGGGAGTACTGAAGTGTTTTGTAAGTAGTGTGAAACAATGAAACACAAGGGCTCTGCTGGGGCTGGGTATCCATAAAGCAACAATAAACCCACAGGTAGTTGTTATGCGTTGAGTCACTCCTTCACTTGGAAGCAAGAACATCCATGGAAGGGTCAGTAATCAAGTATTTATAAATAAATAAAAAAATATAAAAAGGGTCTGAGTTAACCTATCCACATGTTCCCTCAAAAACAAATATTAAAATATGGTACTACAATTGCCTCAGAGTCTGGGCTTGCTCCTATCAAAGACAACTGCAAATATTCCATGGACTGCTGGCAACAGGACTTGAAACTTTATGACTTTTTCACTACAGCACATTATAAACTTTTGATACGCAGAAACACAGGGAGGAGTCTTAGCTTTTAGCTTAGTACTTTACAAGTGGCCCTAGATGCACAATCTCTCAATAAATGATGAGATCTTGTGTTCGACGTTACTGTTCAGCTGCAATTTGATGCATTACATAAAGACAAACTCACCTTCCCCTCACACATTGGGATATTAAGACCAGAGACCATAAGAACGGGCAAAAGGTTAACTGTATTTTGTATGGCCCTTCCCCTTCCAAGCCAGGGAAGTGCATCCCTTTGCTGCCCTAGGAGGATATTTAGGGAGGTCAGGAGGCCAGAATCTGCCAGGGAGAAGCATGGTAGCATTCACAAATGTTTCTCAAACACGACACCGCCTCAATTGTGGGCCGTTATCCTCACTACCATCTTACAAGTCTTGCACTCCAGGGACTGCAGGTATGTGCAAGGATGGGAAGAACTCTTTGTACCTTCTCTTACTTACACAGCAGAACTGGTAAGTGCAAAATGCTTCTTCCCCCACAGTAAAAAAAAAAAAAAAGTACACGAAAATTTTGGTAATTGGAAGGCTCAGGAAATTTTTCACTGTAATGTAAGTACTGAGATACCAATTATGACTAAATTCTTGCCCTCTTGCCTGATTTTGCTGAAATACACTCTGCATTTTTATGATTTCCACGTAACTCTGTGGCTCAGCTATTTCAAGACTTCCTAGCGCTGGTGACACGTATTCAAGTCACAAGTGCCAACTGTGAGGAAGCACTCACCTTATAAAGCTCTGTTCATTCAAATGGTTGCACAACTAGAACTTTTATAAGGTAAACCAAGGCACTGAGTTCAGGGTAGTGGACCAAAGTTAATAATGTGGTATTTCAACCAAATATTAATAATAAGCTTCCCTCTCTTTAAAGAGAGTTTTCCACATTTCCTTGATTCATTTAAAAAAAAAAAAAAAAAAAAGGAAAAAATAGCCTGGAGCTGCAGAGAACATGGGAGGTAAGTGATGTTTTGACAAATGTAGCCTGTGTAACAAAGGGAACACGTAAAACTAGTTCTTGCTTCCAGCACTAGAATTTTTGATAGTGCATGCAGCACAGCAGTTTAGAAACAAAAGATTTGTATAGGTCTTTCCAATCAACCTTTTTCCAGACAAAAACTCTGTAGCACGTGTATGGTATTCTGGCAGTATTTTGTACTGCAATTAGGCATGTACCTTTTGGGTCACATGGATGCTCCTCCTGCGGACATACGCTTCACATCCAAAAGAAATCGAAAGGGATAAATTCCATGATCATGAGAAATCAGAGTTGCTGTAATTTTATAGCCAAAACCATATTCTGTTGAATTACAGAGAGCAATGTGGTGTAACCACTGCTATGGAAATGTGCCGGCAGATTTCCAGAGGCCTTAGGCTCCAGTTTTAAATGGCAAGCCTCTTGGAAAGCAAACAGACCTTTACTCCTTCCATATGGCAGTGCTGATAGCTGTGTCATTTCATTTATCCTAGTTAAAATGTTAATGGTGTTAATTTTTCAGTGATGGGTTAGGGGAAAAAAAAAGTCCTGCTCAGAGAGCAGATTTTTTGCTTAATGTTGATAGGAGCCTCCTGTTTAAAATCTGTTGGGAAAATATCTAGCATATCAATCATACACGTTTGTCTTGAGAGCTTCACAATCTCTGTACATTCTTGGTCTGAACCACTGAAAGGATTATGTTGCTGAGATTTCTCCAAGAAATATTAAAGAACAGGCTGAGTCAGTAATAGAGTTTAAAATGACTAATAGCTGAGGATGAGCCTGCCATGGTCTGGCCTGTTTTAAAATTCATGAGTCATTTTTTGCCAAGAACTGATAAGAACAGAGGACAACTTCAGGACACTCAACTATCATGAAAACATTTAAAAAACTGAAGTGTAATCTTGGACATCTATACATAAATTTGATCCCTGATGCTGCAAACAGTTCATCTCCTATTTAGGTTTAATCACAAAAGTTCCACTGACTTCTAAGCAGATAATTTTAAATAATGCCTGACACAGGAGCAAGGCCTGTTATGCTAAATGAATTTTAAGATATTTTTTTTTCCCCAGAGTTTTAAGGAGCTGGTCACAGACACAGTTAAGTATCTAAATTTAAACATTTTGACTTCACTTTTAGAATTTTAAAATAATTTTCAATTGAAGAAGTTTAGTGAGTGCAACAAAAAGCCCTCTGATATGCTGGACTATTAAATCATAGTTTGACCCTGAAAAGAAATATTAAAGTATGATACCTAGTTTTAATTTTAGCAGTAGCTCATGAAAATTAAGCTGAGGGAGACAACAGGAAAGCATTTAAGAAGTACTTACTGATTGGCAGATTTGCCTACTACCAATTTAATTTAGCTGCGCTATCAACCCCATATGAATAAAACCCACATTTTTCAGATCTACGCATATGACTTGATTTCATAATGATGTTTGAAATTTGCCTGTGTTTGGGAAACTTTCTGCTTTTTGTCAGTATTTTCTGCATTTCTCCGTAAAGCAGATTGGTGGACTTTGTAGTGCTAGGTTTACAAATGGACTTGATGCTACTAAAGGTCCTTTCCAACCTAAATGGTTCTATGATTCTAAGAATCTTCCTTGACTGACCAACAGTTCATTCCTGGAGCTAAGTGTTATGTGTTACGATGCTTCCACTTTGAGCCTTTGTGAAAAGTGACAAGCTAACATGTATTTCTCCTTCACTCTAGTTAGGATCTGCCTTTTGCCCAAGAATGTCCTGGGTCCTCCTTGCACAAGGTTATTACATATCCATGCAACAAAACCTTCTGAGTTGTTTTCCAAGGGAAAGGATGAAAGGTTTAGTGCTTAAGACACTTAAAAGCATGCTGAACAAAACACCAGAAATTCTAAATGAAAATATATTTCTGCATTTCAAATTGTAATGGTAGAGAAGGTAAGTTGCTTCCCTTTGAATCCAAGTTCTTGAAATTGCTTGCCTCCTGTAATGCTTTGAAACCACAGAGTTTTGAGAGAAGGGGATTAGACCAGCTTCTATTTCACAAATTTTTTCCTCCTCTCTGGTCAGGGAAGGAATCATTACAACTTCAGACATAAAGTGTGGAGTATTGCTCTTCTCTCAGTTAAGTTTTGGAAGATCTGCTGCTGAAGGAGAACCTAAAAAGCAGCTGATGAATAACTTACTGAGACAGCTTACTGAGAATGGATTAGAGTGTGACATTTTTACTTTCTACCTAGGCTTAGACAGGTTGAACAAATTATTTGCTCCTTTTTAGGAATAGAAAGTCTCTAATGTCCAGTTTAAATTTGCCTTTAAGTAAAGGATAGACAATACAGATAATCATAAGGTGACACACCTTCATTACTCAGACAACGCTTCCTCCTTCAGATTCAGGACTAACTATTCATTCTCTCACATTGCTGGTTGCATTGACAGGTGAGAAATCATGCCCATTTCACCTTTTTTCCCTTCCAAAGGAGTACCATTTCACATTCACTGAAAGACTTCAGAGTTCTTTACAGAACAATACTGAACTGGACAACACGAGAATACAGAATAATTCCTAAAACACCAAGAGGACTGGTCTGGGACTTACGCTGTCCACGCCACATCTTTAACAAGGCACGCAGTGGGCACAAGAAACAAGCCAAACCAGAAGTATCCACATCTTAACACCATTCCAGCCTGTGAAGGAAACAAACAAATAAATCATGAGTATTTTCAAGCCATTACATGTTAAGTAGTTGTTTACAAGCAAAAAGGTAGAGTGATGGCATCAGACAGGTACTGGGTGATGTTGAAATTTGATGGAGGTGGTAAGCCTCATCAACTCTTAACAGAAGATAGGCCTTCAATTAACAAATACTAATGGTATTTTTCACTGCAATGATTCCTTATGACCTCAGATTCCTTAGAATTTTTTGAAAACAATTTTTTAAAAGCATTTTGACCAAATCCTCCAATGATATTAAGTTGTGGATTCAGGCAGACACATTTTAAGTCATGGAGAAGAGCACCATAAGTATATTTAACTTGCCCTTCTGACTATCTTTTGTGCCTTTTGCTTACTCTGTTTCTACCTACCGTCCTGGATCTCTAAGCAGGATCAAACTGACATGAAAAAAACACATTTCTCACTAAAATGTTTCAGTCATATTCCACTTAAATACAGCACTTCTTGTTCTAACTACTGCTGCCTGAAACCCAGGGTGGGAAAGATTCACTCCTGTCCTGCAAATGGCTTTTTTTACAAACAAAGAGTTCAAAGTTTATCTTTGCGTTTTTCGCATTGTTGCAATGCTTGAAGAAAAAGCTTGGTGGGATTTGAGAAGGAAGAAACCCTGCACAACCCAGCATATACACATAGTTACGGAACAAAGTTGAAATACAGCACTATTTACAGAAACGCTACTTTAGATCATTAGAATCTTTTGCAGCTAAATTAATGGTGATTAAGGCCCAGGTTCAGTAAATGGAAGACTTGAGACGTCATCACCTCTTGCATGCAACACACACACTTCCCATCAGAATCATTAAGCTCTCCAGCACATTAGGGACAGAAAGGATTTTTTTTTTTTTTGGTGCGAGGACACAACTGAAATAGAGGCTGAAGGGTTTCAACAGGATTTCCAGTGTCTAGACAGATTTTGTTCTCTTGCCAGTTATGGACACTGCTGTATCTTTTTCCCAAAACATTTACTTCCCAATATTTTGTATGCTCCATACACACATCTACCGACATTCACATGCAACGCTGCCAAAGGCAGGGAGGCCCGTACCTGCGGACACAAAACTGTAGCAGCTGCCTCACCAGTGGAAGGCAGGCTTGGCTGGCTCAGCTTTGCCTCACTACTGTAGCACACAAGCATTGCAAGCCTGCAATGCTAGAGTGCCAAGGCATTGCACAGATAAACACAAAGCTGAGCTGCAGAACATGGAACTACACAAAATATCTACTAGCCTTTGAAATATACTGTAAGAAGACAAAATTTGTAATTATACCCTTAAACATGACTGATCACAACAAAAGACTTCTACCAATCACTACAGTAAAGCTTTTAAACCGAGAAAAGCCATCACAGTGCCTTGCTGGAATGTTCATCAAGTATGTTCTCCTGGTGTTGATCTCCATTTAAAGTTGTTCACCTAACAACTACGTCACATCTAGCAACTTCCCTGTTATCCAGGAGGAAGAAGTTAGTGACCTGCTGAGCCACTTGGATCCTCACAAGTCTATGGGACCAGACGGGATCCACCCTAAGGTGATGAGAGAGCTGGCAGAAGAGCTCGTCAAGCTGCTCTCTATCATTTATCGCCAGTCCTGGCTCATCAGGGAGGTCCCAGATGATTGGAAGCTGGCTAATGTGACACCCATCCACAAGAAGGGCCAGAAGGAAGACCTGGGAAACTACAGGCCTGTCAGCCTGATCTCAGTGCCTGGCAGGATGATCTGTTCCATAACCTTAAGTGTGATCACATGGCACCTACAGGACAGACAGGGGATGAGAGCCAGCCAGCACGGGTTTAGGATGGGCAGGTCCTGTCTGACCAACCTGATCTCCTTTTATGATCAGGTGACCCACCTGGTGGATGAGGGGAAGGCTGTGGATGTGGCCTATCTGGACTTCAGCAAAGCCTTTGACACCATCTCCCACAGCACACTCCTGAAAAAGCTGGCAGCCCGTGGATTGGACAGGGGCACTCTGTGCTGGGTCAGGAACTGGCTGGAGGGCCGGGCCCAGAGAGTGGTGGTGAACGGGGCTGCATCCAGTTGGCAGCCGGTCACTAGTGGTGTCCCCCTGGGGATCAGTGTTGGACCCAGTCCTGTTTAATATCTTTACTGATGATCTGAACAAGAGGACTGAGTGTACCACTAGCAAATTTGCAGATGACACCAAGGTGGGGGGGGAGTATCAACCTGCTGGAGGGTAGGAGGGCTCTGCAGAGGGACCTGGACAGGCTGGATAGATGGGCCAAATTCAACAGTGTGATGTTTAACAAGACCAAGTGCAGGGTCCTGCACTGTGGTCACAACAACCCCATGCAGTGCTACAGGCTGAGGAGAGAGTGGCTGCAGAGTGACCAGGAAGAGAGGGACCTGGGGGTTCCAATCAACAGGAAGCTGAACATGAGCCAGCAGTGTGCCCAGGTGGACAAGAAGGCCAATGGCATCCTGGTCTGGATCAGGAATAGTGTGGTCAGCAGGTCCAGGGCAGTGATTCTGCCCTTTGTATTCAGCACTAGTTAGGCCACACCTTGAGTACTCTGTCCAGTTCTGGGCCCCTCAGTTTAGGAAGGACACTGAGGTGCTGGAGAGTGTCCAAACAAGGGCAATGAGGTTGGGGAAGGGACTGGAGCATAGGCTCTAAAAGGAGCAGCTGAGGGAGCTGGGGTCGTTCAGCCTGGAGAAGAGAAGGCTCAGGAGGGACCTTGTCGCTCTCTACAACTACCTGAAAGGAGGTTGTAGCCAGGTAGGGGCCGGTCTCTTGTCCCAGGCAACCAGCAGTAGGACAAGAGGGCACGGTCTTAAGCTGTGTCAGGGAAGGTTTAGGTTAGACATTAGAAAGAAATTCTTTACAGTGAGAGTGATCAGACATTGGAATGGGCCACCCAGGGAGGTGGTGGAGTCACTGTCCCTAGAGGTATTCAAGAAGAGACTGAATGTAGCACTTAGTGCCATGGTCTAGTTGACAGAGTGGTGGGCTGGACTCGATCTCACAGGTCTTTTCCAACCTGGTTGATTCTGTGATTCTGTAACTTGCCCTTGGATTGCCCAGTAGCGAGTACTTCCAAAAGCATTTTTCATTTTTAAATGTTAAATCTGCTATGCCATTGCTGGACTGACAGACCAGTGGTAAATCTTGTACTGAAACCAAGAGCAAGCTAGACAGTGCTAAAACATTTATGGACACTTTGCCACCCACACAGACAGTAAGCAAACACATTTCAGTCCCAGAATCAGCTCTCAGTTATTTGGGAGCCCTTATGCCTGCATTCACATGTGAATGCCAGAAGCATCCAGGCAGTTTTGATCAATGCTTATTTAAAGAAAAGGATGCGCAGGAATAAGAGAGAATTCATAACTTCATTGTTAGCCAAAAAGCAGAACTGTAATAACAGTGCCAAAACTTAATGAGATTTATTCTCATGCTTTGCTCTTCTTTGGCTGTGACCCTGCAAGTGCTAGCAGTCACTGAACCACACCAGCATTATTTCCACTGACCATCCTTATGCTGCCTTTGCTAATAAAGGCTAAAAAGGGTCCATAGTATTCCATATGCATTTTCTGCTATTTTTGCTCTGAAATATTTTACGTTCCACTTCTTGCTTTTCTAGCTGAAAGCAACTTGACACACTTTCAAAGTGCAGAACAATCTGAGTATGCGTTCAATAGAAGTTTAAATGCTATTATTGTTGTTATAAATGTTGACATCTCAACCAATGGCTATGAATTTGGACATGTCTCACATAAAAAAGAATCAAAGCCAAATACTTTTTGCCTGCAATTATGTATTTTACTCAAGTATTGTTCTTCCAAAAACTTCACCATAACAGTGAAACTATTCATCTCATCTGAACCCTGTCAAACACTCATTTTACTACTGGCAAGCCTTTTTCCACACAATCCTTACGAAAATTTTACTCCATTTCTGAGCTCATCTGGAAGTTTTTTTCTTGCTCACCTCTAGTTTCCCCTTGGAGTTATTCTATGCTGCTTGACAGTGAACTGGTTTGTCTTGCATGCACAGCTCTGTCTCTGAACACAGTCTCCTCTCTGGCAGGATCACACCATCTGCTCACAGGATGGGGGGCTCCTCAGCAGAGGATTCACTGGAAATCACCTAGCATGTTCTGGGGACATCCACAGACTACCCACTTTTAGGATAGTCTCCAACTTGCAGGATAGAGAGCTGGGCTATGAACAGAAGCTACAATAAGAACACCTATATATCCCAACAAAGCTTTTCTCAGGCTTCCCAGCTGTTGCTGTGCTGCATTCCAGTTGCTCAGCTATTCCTGACAGCAGTGAAGACAGTACTACGTTACATCTTCAGTGAAACAGGGCATTTCTATACCCAGTCCCAGTGAATAACATCCTTCAGCTATCAGTTATACCCCGCTAGATAGGAAAAGTAGAGCTACCAAACAGGAATGATCACTTTTTCTTTCTTTCTTTTTTTTTTTTTTTTTTTTTTTTTTTTGGTAAAGATCACAAGAAGCAGTAGAAATAGGTTGTTTTTTAAAAAAATTCAGAATTTTGAGCAGCTCTGTCATCACACAAGCCCCACAGTATGCAACTAAGTAATTTTTATTCTGTCTACTGATGTAAACATTAGAGACTATCCCATCCAACTCTAACTACCAGAGATCATTAATCACAAGGCACCCCCCCAAAACACTTGAGACTAATGCAAGTCCTCCTACTGAGGACATTGCAACTTAAACTGCTGCCACCAGTAGACTGCCTTTCAAGCACTGATTAATCTGCCACAGACAAAGCACTCATTTTAGAGAACTGGTAACATTTGTTAAAAAGAAAGAATGGGAACAAGAAAAGAAAGAAAAAAAATCTTGGCTCCAGCTATTTCACAACTGAGGAGAAAATAATTTAGGCCCCAATACCTTTAACCTCTTGTAAACAACTTTTGTAAGAGTGAGTAGTTTCTTTTTCTTCTTTTAAA